TAATAAAATAAATAAAATAATAAAATAAACATGAACAGCCATCATAACATTACTTACATCAACAACCCATTGCAACGAGATTCAGAGACAATAGCTAGGTTCAGCAAGGAATAGCTATTACAGCCATTGGTCTCGATCTGAGACACATCTCCTTCTTTTATACTTTATATAGAATAGCCCTATTACTAATACATTGTAGACAACTGCTAAGGTGAAATATAAATGTTAAAGGAGCCCTCACGGATTTTACTCCGCTAGTTGTTGCCAATTATAGGGAGCATTTCTCATCTCCATTTCAAGGCCATTGAACCAGCGCTGTCTGAAGATATTTCCACGGTCATGTGGCCAACATGACATCATAAAATACTGTTACCTTCCCACCGAAGTAGTACCTATTTAACTACTTGCATTTGTATACTTTCAAACTCCTAGGCTGGCAAGAACTGAGCGAGGAAGGGAACTCACGCAATCATGTGCTACATGGGTCTTGAATCTGGGCTCCTGGCTTTCCAAGATGCTGATAAGCCCAGCATCTTAACCACTGAGCCACTGTGCTGCCCTAAATGTTAAATATACATACCCCATATTAGCAAACCAGCTCTAAAGCAGGCTACTTTAATTGTCATATTCAACCTACATACACTGTCTTAAACAAGAGCTTTTAAACTGATTTAGATGCCATTAGAACAAGAGAACACAATGAGATGCAGTGGTGGGATTCAGCCAGTTCGCACTACTTTGGGAGAACTGGTTGTTAACTTTCTGAGCAATTTGGCAAACTGATTTTTGGAAGAAATCATTAGGGCAGAGAACCGGTTGTTAAATTACTTGAATCCCACCATGGATGAGATGCCTATATGCCTTCATAACTGAGAATTAAATGTCTTCAGCTTTTAAAAAGATGATTGGGGGGGAAATGAAATTGCTAAATTCATTTTTCTACGTCAAGTCTGCCCAACAGATGTGGTCGGAGAGTATGGGGACACTGCATGTCTGGAAAGCATCAGCTGGGAAAGGCTGGCCTGAAAAGAATAGTTTAAGTAATAAGCATACATTTTTGGTTTATATTATTTTAAACATTCAACAAAGCACATCCATATCAATCATGTTTGCCCTGCTGATTTATGGTTGCCATTTTATTTATTTATTTAGAAAATTTATATGGCTGCCCACTCCCTTTCAGTGACTCTAAGCAGCTTACAAAAAATAAAAACCCAATATACAAAGAGTAAAAATAATTACCCTCCCACCCTAAAGTTTTTATTTTATTTTTTAAATTTTAATTTAATTTAATTTAATTTAATTTAATTTAATTTAATTTAATTTTTTTATTTTATTTTATTTTATTTTATTTTATTTTATTTTATTTAACAGCTATATGGTAAGATGATAAACGTGATAAACAAGATTTTTTTACTTTATTTTTTTGCTGCTTGGAAAATTCAATATTAATTTTATATAAATAGATTGGATTTTTTAAAATGAAATATGGAAGAACACTGCATCACTAAGTAGTATCTTACTAGAGGAACATCATATATGACGTTTGAGGAAACCACACATCATATTTATATTCTGATACATAATAGGTGTGGAATTTATCATTCAGGAGCACATATTTTAGTTATCATTATATCTTTCGTAGTAGGACGTGATTCACAACCTGATCCCATCTGCAGAGACTGTGAGTGGATAGCGTTCACTGCTAAAAGTCAGTTGAGTTGCAGAAAAACTCGGGGAATTTGTGTAATTATAAGACGTGGGAAAAAATTAGGCACATTTATAGTTCCCACATAGCCATCAATTATCAACAGCACACCTATGTGTTACTCTGTTAGGAGCTTGCATATTGTCAAGAATGATGTACGGTATATGGTCACCATAGATTGGATACACACATTAGAATAAACTGTGGTTGCTTTACCCATGATTTACTGAATCTGAGAGTGGCTAGCTTCAAGCATCATATTATGCTTTGCAAACCATAACCAATTAGGTTCATAAATCTCATGCTAAAGCACGACTGAACAAATTGTAATAGTTTTGTGCAATGAATAACTCAACCATTCTTCTTAAAGTTACTGACACATTAAGGTGCCCTGATCAGTGAGTTTATTTTTACTTGTCATAGCAGAACAAATTTAAAAAAACAATTAAGTAAGTTCCTTACTACAGTAGATAAAAAATACGATGATCATGAGTAACCAAGGCTAGGAATAACAGGAAGGGAAGTAAATGCAATGTAATTTTTCCTTGACTGGAAGAGACACATACTGACTGGTTTAAGCCAAGACTGGTTTTCCCTTATTTTAATAAATGTATTATTGCAACCATACATTTTTTGCAACACCAAAAAGATATTATCAAGCATCAAAACATATCCTGAACCTAGCACAATCCAGAGCTGGATAGATAGAACCTCAGCTACATATTAAAACTTAACTAGCAGGTAGAATACTATATTAGGAGACATTTTTGTAATGAAGCAATACCAGAATACTCTGTGCTAACTACAGAGACAATGGACATCCTTCAACAAAAGACACGTTATTTAAGAGAATGCACAGTATTAAGACATACCTACTTAAGGAGTTTGATGAATCAGAACTATAATCTGATACAAACAATTATGCAAAATAAAATGTAGAAGTCATTGAGTGCAGGAGGAACCAAGATTTGAAAAATGTTTGTTGAATTTCACATGCAATTATCTTAGTCACAGAGGACATGATATAAGGTATCTCTTTAATCTGATAGGTTCAAAAAGGCAGTTGTATACAAATTAAAATGTATAATTTCTACACAGAATTCTAACAGAATTCCATAATTTCCATTTGTGTTTATTTTATTAACTGCACTAATCCTGAAGAACTCTAGGCAGGTACAAAATATAAACAAATAACGTAACAGAATCCAATAATAATAATATAATAGCAGTAAAAAAACAAATCATTCTGGTTCCAAAGACCTTCCAAAGTTGATTGTAGGCGTCATAAACTGTCTAATATTCCTGCATATCCTCCCCCCCTTCCCCATCCCGGAATGAGGTCAGCTCCAACACTCCTGAGTCGTGACCTTCCACAAGAGCTTAAAGATCTGTCATTTGGGGTTGAGGCTCCAATGAGGGGGGGGAGGCTTCACATTGTTGGCAGGTGACAGACTAATAACAAATCCCTTCCTTTCCCCCTCATCTCCCCCCCACTCCACTGTTCATCTTACTCTCTCCTTCCCCTTCTTTTATTCAGGTTAAGTATTTATCTTTTTATATTATTTAGATCGTATTGTTTATACGTTTTGTAAAATTTTATCTTTTTAAAATTGTAAACCACCCAGAACTACCTTGTGGTAAGATGGGCAGTCAATAAATTTAATAAAATAAAATGAAAATGAGGAACATTCTGAATCTTTTTTCATCCTCAGGCACTGAATCTCCATTTTGCTTCAGTTGTTCAATGTGTTTCATGTGTTTAAATTAAATTTTCACATTTTGTTATACTGAGGGAAAGAGAGAAAATGAGCTGTATTCTTCCATCAATGAACCTTATCACGCAGACTCCTTGGAGTCACCTTTCATCCCCAACTCTGTGTAAATCCAACCCAATTTTCCTGCTCATTGGTCTCATCTGTTGGTATGTGCAAATTGATGGCTGAGACTCTCTGGCATAGAATTGGGTAATTTAATTTATAAGCAATCAACTTTATATTTTCTCCATTTTTCTTTTTCACAGGAGACAATAAAAGTGAAGGATAGGAATAACTTAATACTTAACAATATTTTGCTAGGATAGCATGACTAGAAAATATACATCTTTGTGGAAGGAAGAAGATGGATATAGTCCAGAATGCCTTCAAGCACACAGCTCCTAGCATTAACATTCAAAAGACACTGTAGAAGTGGCCCCGCTGAGAACCGGTAGTAAAGGTAAGTAGAACCCACTCCTGGTTCAAAGTTACAACAACGCTGTGGAAAAGTGATTTATGACCATTTTTCATACTTACGACCATTGCAGCATTTCCATGGTCATGTGATCAAAATTCAGACGCTTGGTAACTGACTCAGATTCAGTGGTGGGTTTCAGAATTTTTTACTACCGGTTCTGTGGGCATGGCTTGGTGGGCGTGACAGGGGAAGGATACGGTAAAATCTCCATTCCCTCTCTAATTCAGTGGAAGGTTTCTGCAAAATCCCCATTTCCTCCCAATCAGCTGGGATTTGGGAGGCAGAGAATAGATAGGGGGAGGCCAGTCAGAATTTTTACTACTGGTTCTCCAGAACTGGTCAGAACCTGCTGAAACCCACCTCTGCTCAGATTTATGTCCTGGGGTTATGTGGATCCCTTTGGAGATCTTCTGACAAAGTCAGTGGAGAAGTCAGATTCACTTAACAACCATGTCACTAACTTAATAAACTGCTGTGATCCACTTAATAATTGTGGCAAGAAAGGTTGCAAAATGCAGCAAAATTCACTTAACACTTTTCACTTTGCCACAGAAATATTGGGCTCAATTATGGTCTTTAGTCGACTAGCTGTACTTCATTTTTACAGCAGCCAAAGGTGATAGGACACACTAATGCTTTCTGATTGAGTGAGCTTGATTTTCCACCTTGAATAGAATAGAATAGAATAGAATAGAATAGAATAGAATAGAATAGAATAGAATAGAATAGAATAGAATAGAATAGAATTCTTTATTGACCAAGTGTGATTGGACACAAGGAATTTGTCTTGGTGCACATGCTCTCAGTGTACATAAAACAAAAGATACGAATTGGGAGATAAAAGTGGACAGGCTTTAAAAAAAAAAAAAGCTCTAACCATGTCTTATAACTGATCCCAAAGGTGCTGGGCAGATGCAAATCCGAGGTGTATAATTCCGGACGAGGATCCGGACTGGGAGAATTTGCTACGTGAATATGTCTTCTCGCCCGCCTCCGGCTTTTTCCCGCCTCGTTTTCGCAACCGCGTCTTCTGGAGGCGTAACTAAAAAGCTGCCGCACATCAACCAGGAGGAAGATCCCTCGAAATCATCGAGGCGGCTGGGAGCGGTCGGGCGCACCGTGAGGCTGGCGGTCCCGCAAGAGGACCAAGAGATACCCGAAGCCTTTTGGGGGGGGTCCCACCCGGCTGCAGGTTGCTTACAAAAGGTGAGGCGCGGGTGGGGGAGCGCCTGCTATCGCCTGAAGGGATGCCTGCGCGGGAGTGGGGGCGCGCGTTCAGTTTCCCACTCAAAACTGACGCGAGGAATGGGACATTCTAATAATCCAAGGGTGTTCAATTTTGGACTAAGATTTTTTTTTTTTTGAAAAAATTTATTTTTTAAAACAAAACATAAAACAATTTTATCATCCATTACAAATACAAACAGTGTGTCAGCCGGTTACAGATCTTTTGTGCAACTTTTTAAGATTTGTGGGACTCCGTTTCCCAGGATTCTGGCTGGCCGGTTGGGGAATTCTGGGAGTTGGAAGTCCACAGGTCTTAAAAGTTGTAATCCGTAAAGCAGAGGTCTTCAAACTTGGCAGCTTGAAGACGTGTGGACTTCCAACTCCCAGAATTCTCCAGCCTGCATTAATATTAATATTTGGATAGTTTTCCTTTGCAGTAAGAAATCTGTTAATCGCAAACATTCCACAGGTTTGAATGGGCGTGTGATCGCAGCTCTGGCACGAAAGTAATTGTGGTATTTAGCGTGTCCAGGCTTAGGGTAGTTGAAGATTGTTTTAAAATGATTGCCTTGGGTGAATACAAGTAAATTGCTTTATATCAGGGATCCCCAAACTTGGCAACTTTAAGACTTGTGGACTTCAACTCTGGCTGGAGAGTTCTGGGAGTTGTTGTCCACAAGACTTAAAGCTACCAAGTTTGAAGACCTCTGCCATAAAGAGTCTGGACAGTGGAAAGGAGCGGGGCGAACATCCAACCTGTTGCAGCTAACCAGAAGCATCTCTAAGCTGAGCAGAGCAGTGCGAGGATTCCTTTTCTTGAAGGAATCTGGATTTTTTTGCCAAGAAACAGTGGGGTGCTATAGATTTGCCTTGGGAGAAATCTGTATGAGAGGGAGAAAGAGAGGGGGAGGGAAGAGGGCAAGTATTTGGGGGGGAATGCTTTTTTTTTCTTCTTCTAGCCACGTTCAGGTTCAGCAAATTAGATTTGCTACCTGGATGCTTAGCTGCGCCTCCAGTTGTAGGAAGAAACAGGGAGTTTTTACAGCAGCGGGATTCCCTCCTTTTTGGGAGCGGATTGCAGACAGGAGAATGGATGACGTAAGGCAGGAGAGGTTACTTTCTTTCATTAGTCACTTTGTCTAGAAGAGATTCAGCAAATAATTGGTGAAGAAGAAGACGTCGGCGTGCTTTAACAAAACTCCAAAATTGTGTGATGAAAAGGATCTCTCTCTTTTTCTCTTTGCAAGGGAACACCCATTTCTCCCTCATTGAAACCACAAGATTGGATTTGTATTCAGTTTTTCAATCGTGGTAAGTTTTCAATCAAAATAGTATGCTGTGTTACAGATGGATTAATGTTTGAAGTTTCATTGCAGGTTTTTCCCCCCCAAATTACTTGAGAACAGAACAGAACAGAACAGAACAGAACAGAACAGAACAGAACAGAACAGAACAGAACAGAATAGAATAGAATAGAATAGAATAGAATAGAATAGAATAGAATAACAGAGTTGGAAGGGACCTTGGAGGTCTTCTAGTCCAACCCTCTGCTTAGGCAGGAAACCCTACACCACTTCAGAAAAATGGTTATCCAAAACCTTCTTAAAAATGATTTATCTTTATTTATTATTTATTTATCTTCTTAAGATAAATAGAAGCTGGATCCAGAAGCAAATACAAGGAAGATAATTTTACATGTTTATGCAAATTAACAGGATACTTAAAATTCAAGATGCGGATTTGATCAGTTTTCCTGAATAGCCCTGTGGACGACATAGAAGCAGCATTCTTGCCTCTGAAGTTGCTGTAATAGGCACTTTAAAAGAAAGAAAGTATCCTGTATTCTATACTATTGTTTATAGATATATTATAAATATATAGTTTATTAATAGCTTTACTCTGAATGGAAACCAATCCTTTCTCTCAAGTTTGTTAATTCCTGGATTGAAACAATGTGCTTCAGCCTTAGATTATCTTTCCATTCACCAGAATTGAGCCCCAAAATTCTGTTGCTAAGTGAGACGTTTGTTGAATGAATTTTGCCCCATTTTATGACATTTCTTGCCACAGTTTTTAAGTGAATCGCTGCAGTTGTTAAATTAGTGACATGGTTGTTAAGTGACTCTGGCTTACCCATTGACTTTGCTTGTGAGAAGGTCACAAAAGGTGATTACAGGATTCCAGAACACTGCAACTGTCATAAATATGAGTCAGTTCCAAGCATCTGAATTTTGATCACGTGATCACGGGGATGCTGCAATGGTCATAGGCGTGAAAAATGGTCATGTCATTTTTTTAGTGTCGTTGTACCTTTGAATAGTCACTAAATGAACTGTTGTAAGTCGAGGACTACTGTAAAGCTTTGTTCCAGAAATTTGTTTAGCCAACATTCATTTTACATAATTAATTAATGTGATTGTTGTAAGCCATTTTAAATGGCTATATCAAGACAAAATCAAAGTACAAATTCATTCATTCATTCATTAATAATCAACTGCATAGTAAATTATATTCCTTAATGATAGCTTTTGAAACCTCTCCCAGTTTTTTTTGTGATACATAATGTTTTTAACTTCTTGTGCATCTGTTATATTTTTAATAAGGCCTTGGAAGCTGCACTTCTCCCCATATTGGTGGATTTGAGCACTCTATAAGCCCTGCAAATACATTAATTAAAATTTGTTTGGACATGCAAATAACAACCTGGTATCTTTTTTCATTCCATTATGGATTCAAACAGAGAAATGGTTTCTCAATTAGTGTATTTGTGATAATTAGTGCATCTAAGGCAGAGGTCTTCAAACTTGGCAGCTTTAAGACTTGTGGACTTCAACTCCCAGAATTCTCCAGCCAGCATAGCATAGCTATAGACCTCTGATCTAAGGTCAAATGATACTCTTTCTATTTTATAGGTCTCCTCGATTTACAACAGTTCATTTAGGGACTGTTCAAAATTACAACAGCACTGAAAAATGTGACATGACCATTTTTCACACTTACAACTGTTGCAGCCTCCTCATGGTCACGTGATCAAAATTCAGATACTTGGCAGCTGATTCCATATTTATGACGGTTGCAGTATCCTGGGATCACCTTTTGTGACCTTCTGACAAGCAAGGTCAATGGGGAAGCCAGATTCACTTAACAACCGGGTTACTGTCTTAACAACTATGGTGATTCACTTAATACCTGCAGCAAGAAAGATTGTAAAATGGCCGAAATTCACTAAAAACGGTCTCATTTAGCAACAGAGGTTTTGGGCTCAGTTGTGGCCTTAAGTTGATGACTACCTATATTCATATCCTCATTTTTTAAAACGATGCGCCTGAATCACAATCACATGACTTCAGGGACGCTGCAAGGCCGCAACTTCAAGGACAGCCATAAATCTCCTTAGTCAGAGCTGCCATAACTTTGGTTGTTGAACAAATAGTCATTAACCGAGGATTGCCCTATATTGTGAAGTCATCATCTAAGTTTTAAAAGTACTTTTAAGCTGGTCACTGGAAAAAGTCTGAAGAAGAAATAAAGGAGAATTTGGTAATTTTACAAATTGATAACAAACTAGTCTTTAGCAACACTAACAACAAATTTGTGGGCACATGTACATGATATTTTAAACCCCACTAGTAGATTAATATTGATGTGAGTACATTTGTGTTAATAGCAATAGCACTTAAACTTAAATACTGCTTCACAGTGCTTTTACAGTCCACTCTAAGTGGTTGACAGAGTCAGCATATTGCCCCCAACATTCTGGGTCCTCGTTTTACCGACCTCGGAAGGATGGAAGGTTGAGCCTGGTGAGATTTGAACTGCCAAATTGCAGGCAGACAGCAGACAGCAGAAGTAGCCTGCAGTACTGCACTCTAACCACTGCGCCACCTTAGCTCCTGAATGAACCAGAATAGTTAAAATTATGTCGTTAAAATGATTCTATTGAAGTCACATCAGTAGAATATTTGCAGCTAATATTAGAGCTTCATAATCATGCAAAATATGTGTTTACAATGTGACATTTACATAAGTATCTTGCAGATATTCTAACAGAGTTCAAATCATCACTTAAAGAGTAGCAGTAAATCATGTATACTGATGTAGAATATAGATGTCTATGGAGATTCTCAGTCATCCAGGTCATGGTTGTCCCAAAGGTGCTTTTTCCAAAAGTCAATTGGACTTTGTTGTTCCTTGAAGATATTTTGCTTCTCATTCAAAAAGCTCCTCCAGTTCAGAAGTCAGAATTGAATAAGCTTCTTGGATGAGAAGCAAAATGTCTTCAAGGAAAAACAAAGTAAGACCAGTTGACTTTTGGAAAAAGCATCTTTGGGTAGAATACAGATGTTTGTATGGAGGACACCTACACTGTGCAGTTATGTACTATTCTGGTGTAGCATCACTATTATAACATTAAAGGTGTAGTGAGTTGTAGTGAACTCTTGATGGTGTTATTGGTATGGTATACACAATCCACCTTCCCTTAAGCTCTCATAGCACGTTGTGTTACATCATGCTTCCACATATGGTCTTTATATCACTTCCTCCCCCTTTGGAAAATATACGCGGGTTTTTTATCTGTGCGTACAGTATAACCTATGTGGTGTTATCAGGTACAGTGATCATCAGGAGGAACCACATTACGTTAAAAAAAGATATTGTAAACCACTGCATAAATCATTTGAACCAATACAGTTTAACTATTTCTATTGTCCGATCTTCCCTTCTATGGAATATTTTGAGAGGAAAAGAAAAAAGAAACCCAAACTGTGTTATTTCCTAGTAGAGTAGAAATGTTTAATAATAGTGATACAGAAAATTTCAACTCATGAAACTACTTATAAATTGGCATATTGTTTTTGTCTTAATAGACTAAAAGACACACTCAGTTATGGACTGGGGAGCTCTACAAGCCATTTTAGGAGGTGTAAACAAACACTCCACCAGCATTGGGAAAATCTGGCTCACTGTCCTGTTTATTTTCCGTGTCATGATTCTTGTAGTTGCAGCGGAAAATGTCTGGGGAGACGAGCAACAAGATTTCTCTTGTAATACCCTACAACCAGGATGTAAAAATGTCTGCTATGACGAGCATTTCCCACTTTCTCACATTAGACTTTGGGCTCTCCAACTTATCTTTGTCTCTACTCCTGCTCTGTTGGTGGCCATGCACGTGGCATTCAGAAGACATAAGAAAAAACAGGAATGCAGACTAAAGAAGATGGACATCGAAGATCTCAAAATGCAACGGTTTCATATCGAGGGTCCCCTGTGGTGGACATACACTAGTAGCATTTTTTTCCGAATTATCTTTGAAGTAGCCTTCATATATATATTTTACTACATATACAGAGGCTATCAAATGCCTCGGGTAGTGAGATGTACTGCTTTTCCTTGCCCAAATACAGTCGACTGTTTTATTTCCCGACCCACTGAAAAAACTGTATTTACTGTTTTCATGCTTGCGGTTTCCGGCGTTTGTATGTTTTTAAATGTGCTTGAATTATCTTATTTAGTGATAAAGTTTTGCACGAAGAAGTCAAGAAATATAAATTCACTGCCTATTCATTAAATGTGAATATTATTGATCTTTTATTTTGTATTAATTGTAAACATTAATCAACAATACTTCCAGTCATCATGAAAATTGTATGGAATCTTACTTTAATAGCCATAATTATATTGTTGGAAGAAAAGAAAAGCCAAATTTTACTACTGAAATTATTCCAAGAATGATGCTTCTAAACAGCTAATTAGCGTCTAAACAGCTAATTTCTTTTTAATGACTAGATAATATTCTAAATGCTTTTAAATTAATTGGCTGATATCCATCTTCTAAATTCATTATTTAATACACCCCCACAATCCTCAAACACATCTATATGTGTCAGGATCTTCCAATATTAAATTTATACAAAAGGCTTGGATTTAATTGTTATTTTGGCTGGTTTATTGGACTGTGAGAATATACTTAATTCATGACTTTTGATGTAATTTATAGTTCTGTTTGTTATACATATTGTTTGTTTAATTGTTAAGAGTATGAATTGCTGTTTCATAACCACTTCTCCATTTATTTCACTTATATTTCATAAATATGATTTCAAAAAATCATATTTTTACTATATTGTTTACTCATAACTAAATTATATTTCCCATACCTGGACATTTGTTGTTACTGGAAAAATTAAGTAATACGATGTAACCTATAGTACTATGCTTAAAAAATAAAAAATGGTGCCAATTAAACTGTGAAACAGCACTGGTAGTTGTTTGAAATGTATAAAAGCAACACTGGTTTGGTAAACATTTTAATACTATGCAGAAATGCTTATTTGCACAATGAGACAAAGGTAACTAAGTGAAATATCCTGGCTTTAAGACAATAAGTATTTATACACTTTGTACATCAAAACTATAATAGAAATTCCATTTGCATAGCATACAGAGCTGAAATAGTACACCTGGAACAATTTCAATACAAAAGTAGAAATAAGTTAATGAAAATATGAGACTAGACACTCAAGTGATCCAATACAGGTGTCAAAGAAACAGGAAAATTAGTAACATTCAGAAGGAATAAAATCTTGAACTTAATAGCCTTGAATTTCCATCACTAAGTAATGTGGTTCCCCCATCCCGTTCATGTCCAATGCACATGTTTAAAGTACTTCCATATTGAAAAAGATTAGCTGGTAGCATCACCATTGCCTTGCTCACACTCTTGGAGTCTCTTTTCATAACCCTGTCAAGGAGCTGGAGCAAGTGATGGGAGTTCACCCCGCCACACAGCAGCACTCACGTCTTGAACGTGGGCTTGCTAACCTCCAACCCAGTGTCCTAACCATGTGAACCACTATAGTCCAAAACAAGTAATGTGGTTTTAGAGTGCAATGACAAATGACTGCATTGCTTAGCAATGGCATTTCCAGCAATCCTGTTGCTGTCATTAAATGAGGAACAGGAGTCATTAAGCAAGGATTTCCTAACAACTTCTTGTCAGCTTCCATCAAACAAAATCAACGAGGAAGCAAATGCCAGGTGACTCAAAAGGAGAAGGGTGGGCAGGTAAATGGCTGCGTGTCAGGGCCAAGCCCAAAGACAATGCGGCAAAATCCAGTCGAGTCCAATCCTTTATTTGCTTATACCTAATGGACAGAATCTTGCCAAACTAAAGCTATAACCTTCTAACATACTAGATATTTATTCAGAGATTCTAAGGATTGCCCAGTATCTTAATCTGGGCATCTCTCTGGGAAAGCTCTGTGTTGCCAAAACGGTTATCCACTGATTCTCCAGGTGCACATTTCATCACAACGCTGCAGTGCAAGTGTGGTCAGGCAAGTAGTGAGTCCTCCAGAGGGCAGGAGGGGACGTGGGAAAGTAGAGGCAATGACACTGGAGAGACTTGCAACCTTTTCTTCCCGCTTTCCTGTTGACTTTCCATGCAGGGAAGATTGCAAATTGCAATTCCATGACTGTGGCATATTGCAACCATGGTAAATGACAGCTGATTGCTAAGGACACAGATCATAATCATATGACTGTGGGGACACTGGAATGCCCAGATCTTGGAAGAACACTCATAAGTACCACTTGATCAGCATTATTGGAACTTCACATAGTTCCTGAACGGTGGTCATTAATTGAGGACGACCTACATAGCTAATTTAAATAAATTGTTTCATTTCTTATTGCTATTTATGCAGATTGCAATATTCTTCCCTTGTCCATTCACCAGTTGATCAGCCAGCCAAATAACTGAGAAACGGGGACATAGGTAGTTGCTTCTCATTTTTTCCCAGTGAATACGAGAAAAAAGGCCAATTTTTCAACCTAGCACCAAGGAAAGACTTGTTGCTTTCCCTTAATTTCCAGCAGCCCTTCCCAAAATCTGTTGGTGGGTAGAGGCAAAGGAGAAGAGGAATGAGTATGAATGATATCTAAGTTTGCTGCACAGTGGTGTTTAAAAGTTTGTGAATCTTTGGAATATTCAATATTTCTGCATAAATATGACCTAAAATGGGATCTGTTCTCATTCACCTAAGATCCTTGGGGTTAACAAAGTTACACATGCACAGTTAATATTAATATTTGGATAGTTTTCCTTTGCAGTAAGAAATCTGTTAATTGGAAATATTCTACAGGTTTTAATGGGCGTGTGATCACAGCTCTGGCATGAAAGTAACTGTGGTATTTAGCATGTCCAGGCTTAGGGCAGCTGAAGATCGTTTTAAAATGATTGCCTTGGGTGAATACAAGTAAAATGCTTTACATCATAATTTCCATCTTCATAACCTCTGAAATTAACATCTCAAGCTTGCTTTAATAAATATTCCACAATCAGTTCAACCGAATACAATTTTATGAGTAAGAAATTACCCAATGAAGAACACACACACTTTTAAGCTCATTAAAAACAAAATATAAATATTAGGTAAAGGTTCACCTCGCACATATATGCTAGTCGTTCCTGACTCTAGGGGGTGGTGCTCATCTCCGTTTCAAAGCTGAAGAACCCTCGCTGTCTGAGGACGTCTCTGTGGTCATGTGGCCGGCATGACTAAACAGCACATGGAACGCCGTTACCTTCCCACCAAAGGTGGTCCCTATTTTTCTACTTGCATTTTTTTGCGTGCTTTCGAACTGTTAGGTTGGCAGAAGCTGGGACAAGTAATGGGATCTCACCCTGTTACGCAGCACTAGGGATTCAAACTGCTGAACTGCTGACCTTTTGATTGACAAGTTCAACGTCTTAGCCACTGAGCCACCGCGTCCCTATATATATAATATTGATATTAGCTGTATCAATAAAGGAGAATATTTGTAGCTCAGGGTTGAAATGAGGGGCCCTTGGTGCTCTCTGAGCTTGCTTGTTTTCTTGCAGATGTTTCATGAAACTAGCACTGATTATGTTACTAGTTTGGGTAATGAAACGCCTGCAAGAAAACAAGCATCAGGGTGCACCAAGGACTCCTTATTGGCTGTATAATTGTCAAAAAATCTCGTTTGAAATTTAATAACAAGAGTTTCAGAAGAGAATGTTACAAGGGTTGAGATGTCACCACAGATACTCTATTCCCCTTTTGCTGTTTTCCTAATCTCCAATGGCAGTTTAAGGCACCTTAATCTAAGGTATTAGGGATGGTACAATCATTTCAGGTATTTATTCATTTGATTTAAATACTATATTTCTGCACTGGTACATGCCCAATCATGTACCAGTCACTGGTACATACTCCAATCTGCTAATTGTCCTAAATCAGAAGATGGAATCACATCGGAAAAGAAAATGGAACCCAATATAGAACAATATTTGCAAGTTGTAATGTACGCTTGAACAAGTCATATCAACAGGTTGGTCACTTTATTGTAAAGTTTGGAAACCATGCATGGTTCTTCACAGACCTGTATATGATATACAAAATAGTGACTCAAAGGGAAGCAAGTGATCCAGTTGTGATGTCACCTCATTGATATCTAGTATAGATTTGGCAGATCTGGCAGACTAGATGGGTATCCCCATCCTACCTCACTGTTCCATGTATTTGCCTCCCAAAGATGCACACCCAGTGGAAGAGGATATCCATCCCAGATGGATCCATTAAGGTTATATGATAGCTGCACTCCCCTGCTAGACAAGCTCAAGGTACAAGTCACCAAAGTACTCTTAGAACTTACCACAATCACTCTTTGACATATTTGTTATAGAGGTAGTCCTTGCTTAACATTTGTTTAACGATTGCTTAAAGTTATGATGGGACTGAAAAAAAAGTGACTTATGACCCACTGGTGGGTTGCCCCCGGTTTGGACCGGTTCTATAGAAACGGTAGTAAAACCAGCGGGAGGCTCCGCCCACTGACCCTGACGTCATCAGAAGTGATCTGCGCATGCGCATGGGCGATCCCATTGCAAACCGGTAGTAAAAGTAAGTAGAACCCACCCTTTATGACCTGATTTTTGTACTTATGACCATTGCAACATCCCTACGATCATGTGATTACTATTTGCAGTCTTCCCTGCTGGCTTCCACCAAGCAAAGTCAATGGGGAACACACAACAGAAGGTTGCAAGTTGCAGTCTCACTTAACCACTGGGTGGACTCAATTGCAACTGTGCCATCATAGGTTGGCATGGTCACGTAATATTTCACTTAAAGACCACTTTGCCTAGTGACTGGATTGCCAGTCCAATTACAGTTGTTAAGTGAGAACTACTTATATTCCTATTGGCATCGGTCTAACACAAGGATTGCAATCTTTTGGGACCTGATAGCTTTCAACAGTTTTTTCATATATGCGAAAGGAAAAAGCTAGAACTCCCAAAACAGAAATAGAAAAAAAAAAATGCTACTTAAGATTTAGCAACTTTAAAAAAGAGTTATTTCACCTCTAATTTTGGCCAGTCAGATATTTCTAAGAGATCCAGAAGATGGAATGAAAATATTGTATTAGAAGGCAAGGCTGTATTCACTACTGCCATTACTGGTGTGCTTGCATGTATATCTATGTATACAAATAGTCTTCATTTAGCAACCATAATTGGTCATTAAGCAAGGTAGGTGCTAAGTTAAATTTTCACTGTGCTTATGATCTTATTTCAGCTTATCTTTTCCTTAGAACCGTGGTTAAAATGCAGCATTTGAAGTTAATTCTGCTGCCTGCCAGCAGTTCAATTCTGACCAGCTCAAGGTTGACTCAGACTTCCATCCTTACGAGTCAATAAAATGAGGACCCAGATATGCTGACTCTTTACAATTTAGAGAGGACTATAAAAGCACTGTGAAATATAAATCTAAGTGCTATTGCTGATATTGCTACTGCTTTACAGAAATGCAAAGGTCATAAATGTGAGGTCACAAAGTTACTTTTGCATCACTGTTGTAACTGCAGTTCCTAAATGAGACAGTCAGTACACACACAAACACACACACACTTATAGAAGGCAGTGAGGGGTAATAGTTAAAGTGCTGAATTAGGCACAGGGAGACCCAAGTATCCTTAAAAATGTTTTTATCACTTACTTTTCTCCCATTCTAATGGTGAACATTATAGAATCTAACCCATCAAAATTCAACAATGCAATTTGTCACCAAACTTTGGTAATAAAGAGTACCACGGTAGTGAGGGATTTTAATAAAAAGTCCACTTTTTTCTTATTGCATCCTGCACCAGTGTAATTTCTTCTCTCTCTTTTTGTTCCTTGAAGTTAGAAACCAAGTAATCAGGAATACATGGGGGGAAAAAACCAAAAGAA